CTACATGACCAGCTTTGCTCACGCATTTGTTGAAACTCTGTGCTAATTATACCCTCCCTGCATGCATTTTTATGAAGTATTTATCTGAAGGCACCACGCCGAGATATCTCTCTTCCTCGCTGTTCAAGCCCCATCCACTTCCTTCCTTTGCCACCATCCTCTCGCAACAGTCGGGGACACCCCATTAGCGCGTGAAGAGTCTTTGTTTATCAGAGTGCTACATATATCCTGCGTCATACGCCATGGTGTTTACTATCTTCAAGCTTTTGCCATACGACATACGGTTACAGGTGTGGGCTATAGCCTGCCGAAGTGCCCGGATGTCGGTCATGTCTCCCGAATTGAGTGCGACGCTCCGTAAAAAAGGAAATTCACTTCCTGTACATAGAATGATCCAACAACCGGGATGCTCATGTATTGCCATGGCATGCAAAGAGGCCTTCTACGAGTGGGAAAGAGCGACGGTCCTGTTCTCGGAAGGCTCATCTGTCCGTCTGTACACCTCCAGGACTATCTTCCTATTTTCTGACTTAGCGGGCGTAGGAAAAGGACGGTTAGACAGATACCTTGCTAACCCCGATGTGATGTCCAGCATTCAGCATACTGCCTTCTTGGTTACGCCAGGCGTCAGTCTACTCGATATTCTCTCTAGCCTGTCAATCCTGCCTTTGCTGAAGACTGTATCCATCGTCCTTCCTGGTTGCGATACAAAGGGTGCGGAAAACGGGAAGTCACCCGAGGCGAAGACTGCGGCTCGATACTTGACTATGCTTGCGGACCGCTTGTCCCTCGAGGTAAATCACGATACCGCAAATACGATTGGGCTCTTCCTCGAAAGCGCTCCCCCCGATCCCCGAGTCGAGGCATTCTATACTGGCCTCGACGCTCCTCAAATCAATGTCATTTTTCCGCAGTGTGACGAAGATCGTCAACTCGCCAAGATGGACGACAGGTCATCAATGGGATTCTCTCTGTTTGAGTACAAATAGTCCAACGGCTTCCCTGGTCTGCAGAGTATGGCGCGGTAGTTCCTGCTCTATGCAGCCGACTCAGAGCTGAGCGACGTTGAGAACTGGCCAAAACCAGTTCTTTGAGGATCACCCTCACGTTGCGCAGTAGGAAATCAGCGCCCGGATGAGCAATGCTACGTCCCTGGTTTCCGCTCTCGCGCGAGGCTTGGGCCATGTCTCTCGTGATGAGTGTTCATGATAGTTCAAAAGTTACCCTGGGTTAGGGGGAACTTCAAGTCGCATCATTTGCGCATGTGACGATCGCACGGTTACGCTCCTTGCCGTAATTTCTAGACTGCTCTTTTGCTACAGTACCGAAGCCCATGATCGAACACACAAATACCGTCTCCACCGAAACGTAACGTCCAGAGTAAGCACTTTCTTCATGCCCCGCGCGATCAAATGCACGGATCAGGATCGGGCTGTGCTTGGAAACGTTTCTCTCGTGTGAAAGCATAGATCCACAGCTGAATCCGGACCTCATGCTCAATTATGACACGGTCGTACGCCTTTGGACTTACCTCACCAGACATATAAGATGATAGGCTACTAAGAGGCTCCCGCGTAACTTGGACACGATAGATTTTCCCAACATCAAAGCAAATTGCTCGTCCTACACCACCCCTCACTGGATCCGGATACGCTCCCGTAGCCCTGGTTATCTTAGCTCCAGTGGTCAAACTCTAGAGACAGCGGCACATCCTCCAAGCCAAGATCGCTCTACTCTCGCCCTCGTACAGAATGGATTGCCCAAGCACGAAATTGATCGACCTACTACGAGCTTGTCTACCGCGCTGGGAGGAAGAGTTGGAACAGATCAAGGACCCAGATGCTGCACTGAATCAGAAACTGGCTTTGATTCATGATCGATCAAAGAGCAGAATCGAAGAGTTTTCTCTTAACCATCTACGAGATGGTGTTGCTATTGCTGCCCTCAAGCAAGCACTACTTTCCGATGGTCGACAGATCGAAAGGCTTGAGCTCGAGCGCAAAGACAAGATGAAACAGCACCAGGAGCTCCAGAACGCAGATGCTGAGGCAGTAGCAGGGAAGATCATAGGTGATTTGGTCAACATTCTAGGTCTTGACACGGCGCAGAAGCTGGCTCCGGTACTTTACTCTCGCCAGCCGGTGCAGGAGCCTGACCGCGATCTGTGCGACAGCAACGATGTGGAACGAGGTTCCAGGCGACCAAAGGCGGTTACCAATACGGCAATCTCCACGAGTGATACAGGCTACAATACAAGAAACAGACAAAAGTATCGGCAAAGGCCAAGTCCATCGGTGAATGAACCTTGCAGTGGAGAAAGTAGTTCGGTGAGTACTCGGGTTATGGTCCCACCGGCCCTGTTGCTCTCCTTCTCGTAAGATATACTCACAATCACCTAGGCGAAGAGAAAGCTCGCTTTGGATGTAGACAACGAAAGGCCGCCTAAACTGCACCGTTCGGCCGGCACGAAAACTCAGCCTGCCAAAGCATCCCGCTCCGACAGCGTAAGCCCTCCGTCGACACTTTCTATCAGATCCCCCGGTTCACATCAGTACAGTAGCATTGGAGGGAAAGCGCTTGCCATAGACGCCAGGAGAGGCATGACGACGCAATCTAGGAAAATCACGTTTGGAGGTGATAGGACCGCACAGGTCACTGTCCACAGAGACTCCTCTAACGAGCTGTGGATCTGCGCTGTGAAATTTTCTCAAGGTCAGAATACACGGAGAATTGATAACTTTATGGGACGCTCGATCATTCCTGGTTTTCTCCAACTCGTCAATCGCGACCACGCACAGGTAACGAACAGGCGAGAGCGTCAACAGTCAGCCCAGCAAGAGGCACAAGTGACAAGCCGAGCCCAATTTGATTCCAAAGACAATGAACCAACACGCCCGGATGTCGACAAGAAAAAGAAGTTCTAGACCCTCTTCGCCTGGAGTCAGTTTTAACGGGTTACACCGTCTCGTGACGAACGGCGCATGGAAGATCGTCCCTTCACACCGATGATTACAACGGGAATCAAAACGAATTTTGGGTATATAGTCTGTCAACTCAGCCAAAATCTATCTGATTACGGTCCATACGCAGATTTCTCATGCAAAATATGTTGTTAAAAGCTAAAAGATATCGCCATCTGTTTGTTATGGTTGCACACGAATGGCCGCGATCACACGCTGCAATGCCCCTCGGCCATGGTCCTCGTCGTATCGTCTGGAATCCATGACGAACCGTGTCACGGCTCTTGGGGCGGACCGAGGAAGCAAAGTACAGCTCGCATCGATTGTTTCAGGGTCATGGCGACCGCTTACCCCGGTATCCTTCGGTTCGGTCCTTGAGTCTTCCACCATGGCATGCAACAGCCTCGTTTTTGTTATATCAGCCACATCTATACTATTTCCCTGTTAGCTCAATGGAAAGCCATTACTTCTCCTTTCCTTTTCCTTTTTCCTTTTTCTCTACTTTTCAAAGGGAATCAACACATACAGCAAGTGCGATTCTTCATGTTCTTCGGCTCCGTCGCCGATAAGGGCACAGAACGAAGGCAGCATCACTTCTGGCGGGCCGTACTATGCTTTCCAAGTAAGCAATACAGACGAGTGGCCGTCTACGCAAACAGATGTAGGAGGAAAGTGAGAGAATACAGAGACAGAATTTTATACAACAGAATTCACAACGGTGTACAAAGATACAATGGACGAAAAGTAATCTGTACATAGGTAGCAGTCCAGTGCATGCTGTTCAAAATAGACTTTTTGTATAGGTATTGATCATGTTTCATATGGGATCAGGATGTGAGAAATAGCGATAGGCAAACAAAGTGTATGAGCTGAGAGATACAGAACGTCATGACGCCTAGCCATTTTTCTTTTCGCAACGATACGCAACAACACTGATTTTCTCGTCTTGTCTTCTCACTCGGAAGCGTGTAATCATCGTAGCCATGCCAGTCTATGCTCTGGAACAGCCTGCTCTTTGTTGAGTTTAGGGTAGGCCACCAACAGAAGGATGTCTCTCAAATCGGCCATGAAGTATTCCGATTGTTAGATGTGCTCGCATTTGTACATATCCGCTGAGAAAGCATACCCCAGTAAGCGACTTTGTAGCGCGATATATTGCTCATTCATGATCGTTCACCAACTGATTCGACGATGAAGATGATGTGCCAAGAAAGTCGACTCAAATGAAGTTGGACCAAGATCAAGGCGTCATATCACGTGATCGGTTACGCCTTAGGTGGGACCAACGGCTGAATATGGACGGGCGAATGCTTTGACACATTGGACAATTAGGAGTCGAAAAAAAA